CGAACGTGGGGATTGATAAAATGTGCAGAAATTCTTCCTGAATTTTTCAGTCATATCCTTTGTCACCAGTTTTCAATGGTTGTCTCGCATCTTTTCTGAATTTACCACTTTTTTATTGGCTACCCTCTAATATATTAGTTGAACAAGAAATATACCACTCATTCCTAACAATTAAAGTGTCCTCTTTGTTAAATTTATATCAATCTCTTTCAAAATTTAACTTCAAACATTATATACCCCTCGTCTTGAACTTGTAAAAAGATGTTAACTTTTTGCATGAGTTCAAGCTTGTTCACTGTGCTTGTCAAACTGTTGCCAACATTAACAGAGCTTAGGAATGATCAGACAGTATAGTGCTGGTTTTTGAAGTTCTGCAATGGAGATTTGAATCTTGAAGATTAAGGTGGTAGATGTCTACCTGCAATTACAGCTTCCTGAAATCTAACTAGAGCTTCACTGCCGAAGTTTACTGCCAACAACTGGATGAAATGTAACTAGACTGGTTAATCAACATGGTCCAATTCTGCTTCATGACAATTGTCTGGCCATATGTTGCCACCCACCATATTTCCCTGATCTCTCCACCCCGACTTTTTTTTTTTTCTTTTCAAGCTGAAAAGATATTCTGTTGCAAAGACACAGAAAATGTCTTCAAAGATTTCTAGACATTCAAACATAAATAACCTTGTAACCCGGATATATAGCCATTTCAGTTCCCTGTTTTGGCTTATTCAAATACTATTTAAATACATGAATTCATGGAATAAACGTTTATTCTATAATCGGACTGTATTTTGAAAACAATACATAATAGAAAGAATGAGTCGGTTGATGAGAAACCATAACTGCTTAGTAAGGGTGTCGACATTAGTCAAGAATGATTTCTCAAATCAATACAGGCTACAGTGTGTTTTTTATTTGTCACTATTACAATGGTTCATTGAATTGGTTACTCAGTAGTTTTTGTTTGTCTTACCACCCAACAAAATCAGTGATATAACAAGCCCAATACGATGTGCTTAGACAATAGAGCCAAGCAGACTTTTGTGGTTTTTGAATCCCCTGAATAATCTTCAGTTCAATTCTAGGACTCTATTAATGTTATTTGTACTGAAGAATAACATTAACTCAAAACTTTCATATTTCTAATTTACAAGAAAAAAAAAATAGGGTCTCAGTTTAGAAATCTTGATCTGCAGCAAAGAGCCCAAAACACATGAAATTTTGCATTTAACCTATTTAGAGTTCTTTCTAGGGTTTCTCTGTGACAAAAATGGAATTTGTATCCCAAGAAACATAGGAATAGTGGCCTAGACCATGATTTTCTGATAAGTACAAGCAAAGTTATGTTGAAAACTGATATTTGGTATCTAGCATATGGTGCCAAAAGCAGGCAATGGCCCTTTTCATGTTTGAAAGGAACTGAGTATATTTTAAACCTCTTCCCCCACCAGAATAATTTTCTTACATTAGCAGATTTAAATTGTTATAATGTTTGGGAACTTAGACTAAAAAGGAGATCAAATTTTGAGTCTGGCTTTTTTTGTTAGTGTTATTCAAAGTTTGGAGATTTGGGAGGTTCAAAGGTAGAGAAACGGTCAAAAATACATTAATTTGAACTTTGTATTATAGGACCCTCAAAATACACTTAATATTTATTCATTTTTTAATCATCAAACCCATTCCCACCCCAAGAAGGCAGTAATGCTCTTCGTATACAGAGGACTACTAGAAATGAAAGTGAGAGAAAAGGCTGAGTATAAGGAGGATTGAGGAAAGGACAAAAGATGAACAGTACTGAAGAAGATAGATGATGGCAATTGATGTTGCATTTAAATTTTTGAATATTGTAGTTATCAGGGAAGCAAGTAAATAGAAGGGAGTTCCACAGGTGGGAAGTGCGAGAAAAGAAACTGTTGGAGTAAAAGTGTTGGTTGTATTTAACTATTTCAACAGTAAACAGGTGGGACCTCAGTTTTATGTAGTTGAAGCACCGATGGTGGAGAACTTGTCAGAGCAGTTGCCTTGAAAATATTTCTAGAAAAGATAGAGGGAAGCCTGAGCAAGTGACTGAAGTCTATGTGCCTGGTCAGGATCAATTACATATAGGTCCTTTTTTTTTTTTTTTTTTTTAAAGAGTGTCACATTAATCCAGTCTGTTACTTATTACATTCATTTTGGCAAGATTCCAACATCTTCCTTAACAAAACTAGGCCAAAAGAGACAAAGATCCAGAAGTGATCATCTAAATGTAAATGATTAAACATGTGAGAGTTTTGATTGACTTCAAATGCTCATAAATTGATAAATATTTGGAGTTAGAGTTGTTCTGAATTCCTGAGACTGTCTATTTTTAGTATTTACAGGATATATCACTTGGTGGAATATTTATCATTCTCTAGCAGTTACTTGTTAGAATATTGACACTGACCATTGTACTCTGAACAGAAATCAAGGTAACTTCATTTTCTCTCAATGAAATTAATGGAGGCAAAAATTG